ATATCTATATCGAAATTGAACTACAGCACTCACGGGCGGATGATTGAAACTGTTATTATGGACGTGGAATCGGGGAAACACTCACTTTGACCATTTGATTATGGAGCAAAATTGAGTCTTTAATTAATACCACTTTTCTCGACCCAAATAATTACAAATTTTTGATTTTTTGGCTAGTTTTGCCACTCAATTAGATTTCCTATTGCAGCCAACTTATATAAAGGAAATAGATACTTCTAATGATCCACCCCCTCATACTTGATACCGGAAAGTCGCAATGATGATTAAATATCCTGCATTTTCCGTTGTGTACCCTGAATAACATATGGATCCATCTGTACAAGAGACACGTGCATTACCATTACGTCATCGGCTCCCTGATTCAAGTGGGTTAAATGGGTGATAACCAATTGCAGGACGATTAGGGGTGATGATAAAAAAATATTTTATTGATTTACCCTCAAAGAGCACAATCAATATTTAGCATCTGATTAAATAAATTTGGGGGAACATGACTGGTATGATAGCTCATGATTGCACAAGTGAAAGCTTGTGATTTTTTCGAGCAACCCTGTAAAAGCGGCTTTGTAGCCAAATACAGCGTTTGTGAAAAAGTGTCAAGTCCATTAGACTAGCCGAGTGAATGCGGCTTTCTAGGGTTTTGTTTTTCATTAGAACTTTCATATATGGAAAGAGTGTCAGCAACGTATGCTTCGACCATATGCATATAGTGTCTGGCGCCACTCGAGTAAACGATTTTCTTACCCGAAACGTTGCACATGCTCTATCTTCGTCCAAATGCTTGAATGAAATGAGACTTTTCACTGGTATGTGATTCGGTAAGAGATGAGAAGATACACGATAGACACGTGGGAGTCACTAGATTACCAGTCCAATTAAATATTATGTACGTCGAGTTTCTCTTTTATATTTTGACATTAGTCAGGAATCCAGCAGGAACGGTGCGACCTCATGCTGCAGGAATTATCCTGCGTTTTCGGATCATGGTCGCGTATGACACAGCAGACCTTGCCATCAACAATTTGCATTCTTACATTCCGTTTTCAAACTATTTACTTAAACGTGGAGTATTTTTAGTCTCTCAATGATTAAAATATAATTCTTACGCGTTCGCTCCAACCCAAATGAATCACTTGAAACGCAGAACTCATTTTTTAGAATCTTTTCGTTGTTTGTTCAAGCTTGCGTTTTTATTTGACATTTAACGTGTCATCACGCACCTTATTAACTGTACAGGTCGGTTGGCTCTAGAAGTGCAATTTGTCAATTAAGAAATTGCCGATGCAGTTTCAGGTTTAATTGGGCCGTTAAGGTGATCATAAATTATGTTTGTTCATCATAAATTATTGCTAAAGAGTTTGTTACTGTTTTATATTTAACAACTATGCAAATCAGCACCCATTCAAGAAGCGCAGTTTCTCAAAGAAGATACGAAGATGTTCAACCACTGCGGAGATAATCGATTATTGAAGTTACCCATTTTGTATTTACCGTTTTATAAAATTTTGGAAACTGGAAAACATTTTATACAATCGAGGTTTATTTATTTGATTTTTGTTCTACTCTTTATCATTGAAAAAAAAACTGTCATTTATTTTAAAATCAATAGGTATATTTGCTTATTAAACTCCTTTATAAAATTAGATTGAGTTTGGTATTACAGGAATTTAGAAAATTACTTTGCTTATTATTTAGTTTAATTTTCTTACAAAAAATATGCTTTACCATTTTTGACATTCTAATAAAACATTTAGAAAAATATTAAATTTTTATCTTAGGGGTTTAAGTCACATTTTTTTAATTAGTGATTTGAAATGCTTTCATAAATGAACAAATTCGGATCTAAACTAAAAGTTAAATTCTTATGCCAAACTAAATTTGGATTCAGCGAAGCGAAAAAATTGGAAAATGCCCAATTTTTATCTATTTTGCTTTTTTGACTCAATCGACTAATAAAGTAAGCTAGATTTTTTAAATCTTGTTGCAATAGAATTAAAAAATAAAATAAAAGTCTAGTATATTGGAAAAAGCTTAAATTACATTTGGTCAATGTTCTAAACTGTTCTTTATCCTTATTTGGTAACTTATGAAATTGAAGTACAACAGTTGAAAGTATGTTAGTATAGATTTCAATTTGTGTAAGTTTTTATTTTATTAAATAAAATAGAAAGTGGATGTAATTGATCTAAAGAGTTGGTTGAATCAATCACCAGACTAGATTTTAATTCAAGAGGAATGCAGTCTTACAATTTTTTGAATAGTGTTCAGTTCATAAAATTGTTCGTCCTTGCTGTTATAGTTGTAGTAAAAGTAATTTTCACTTAGTTGAACCAGATTGTAAATCTCGTTAATTCGAATGTTATTACTCTAATATGTTTAAAAGTAAATGGACTGTATAACTGGCGCGATGTTTTAAAAATATGAAGCTTATAAATTTCTCGCAGTTGTTATAAAGTTATTATTGATGCAGAATGCATAAATTAAGGTAAGTTTAAGCTCGAAGTCTGCATTACACACTTGAAAAATTAATAATTGGTTCGATAAGATAGCTCTTTACATTGCTGTTCACAAGCTAGTTACACTATAAACGCTGTATAAATTACCTGAATTATACAAGCATAAATCCATCCTTTATCCAAGTGTAACCATGAGAATTTCTCTCGAGACTCGCTGAGGAAATTTTTTTTAAAACAATAATGCAAAATTGCCGTTTTGTGTATTCAGAAGGTCGCAAGCAGGGTTTCGATCACGTCTCATATTGGCAACATTGAAATTCAATAAACTCTGCATTGATGATGTATGTGTGGGTATTGTGGACGCTCGCTCACCCCTGATGTATTAACCACTCGGCGAGGGAGCCTTGAGGGTCTTCATCTTTACAAAGGAAATGCGTCTGGAAACCATGTGTATCTCGGATTTTGACACTTATAAATCGTATTACTTTTTTATGACGTACGGTTTCAAACCAATAAAGCTGTTTTGGATGCTCGGGCTTCACATAAATAATTTCACTAGTACTTTTATTTTACTCAAACCAACAATGACCGAGAATGACCGTAATTGTCACCAAATTAGAAACATCTTGCTACTTTCTAGAAACAATGATTTTTAATTTGGGTGGATGTTGTATAATGGAATTGTAGCAAATTTTATGTATGTGGGTTGGCTTGGCTTATTATTTGTGTCACTCGAAAGATGATGATTTATTCGAAACGTCTTGATTTCAAATTTGCATACAATCTGGATTTTCTCTTATGAAATATGCATCTGTGGCGCCTCCTCATTGCCCAAATTTTTTTGCAACAAACACATGAAGAAGCAAAAACTTCAAAAATTTGTTAAAAGCAACGAGTAGGAGCCCGCCTCCTCATTTACATAGTAGCAACATTTAAAACAATAAATAACAAATATCAACGCTAATTTATGTTGACTGAAGAAAATTAATCACCTTGGCTTAATTTTTGAGTTTTAAGCTAAAATCTTGCTAATTTTTGCAATCATATGAAAGGTTGTCTGTCCTATATGACAATTCCAAAACGAGCTTTTTTAATTCATCTATTACCCAAGCCAACAAGCAGAAAACCATCTCATTACAGTCAGCAACTAATTCGAAATAATAAGTAAAATTAACGTTATGATAAATAGGACATTAATAAGTATGTACGACTTGTATCTAGATTTTAAACATGAATTGGGTTAGGTGACACTATTAGTGTTTTCCGCATTGCGACTCAACGCGTGTTGTGTCATTTCAAATCTACTAGGCATGAAATAATAACACAGATCGACCTGAAGATTGGACTTGTAGAGTTATTTAATTGACAACATTGCATGTAGATAACAAAAATATAGTTGTAACAGGTGCCCACAATTTTGTTAGGTAATTCTTTCATTCAAAACACGACGAAAATAAACATTTTATGAATGAACGTTATGCAATTGTTAATAATATATCATTACAATATTTCGTCGTCGTTTATAAACAAAGAAATACTAGATCAATTTCTAGTTGAGGAATGCTAAACATTTTCACTTAATTGATTTCGTGCTTTTCCCGAATTTCAATTTTGATAAAAATACAAATTTCGGTCAATTAGAGTGAGATGCGTGAGTTCTTTTTTAAATAGTCACGCACGTGCTAAGGTCAGGGTCGGAAGCGAATATACTACTTCAGGGGAAGTACCTCTGTGCCTCATTGATAATGACTTTGAGGCCGAATAATTACATCCTTTTGTGTTTACCTGTGGCCTTTATTATTTTTATTTGTTTGTCAACGAATTGTTTAATATTTCGCATTTCTGTCATTATATTTTTGACCTTTTATTACATAAGCATCCGGTTAGCAGAATAATTTTATTGTTATGTTAATTGCTTAATTTTTACAAAATACTTACTTGATTTAATATGTATCTGTAATTATAACGCGCATTTGAATCTAATTTGAATAATTTGGAAAAAGGGATTGACTGTAATTTACTAGAGTTATTCTCAATTCAGAAGCCACACTATTTATATGTTGTTATATAAACAGAAACATCTGTAAAATGTAAAATTCTACATATTATCTTTATGTGATCTTATTAACTACTACTTTTCACAGTTGATAGTTAACCGGTCTTGGATTACCGAAAAAAAGAGCTCTGCAGATGTAGCGTGAGATATAACGGATTTTTGTTACTTAACTTTGAATTTCAACAAAGACGCCTACAAGTATGAAAGGATGGACTCAAGGTGTTGAAATTTACTTTCAACGTAAAACGAGAAATATTTTTTGTCTAGGATTCATCCCGGTAGAAATCGGACTTGTTCTCAAGCCTTAGATGTTTTGAGCAGAAATAAAAGTATAATTGCCCCTTTATAGCAGGTAGCATTCTTCTTCGTTGACGCTTTGTCAGCTCCTGGAAGTAATTAGCGTAAAAATTCCCGATCAACAAGTAATTATCCGCTTCTAAGTCTAGAAAGCCAAATAAATCTTCAAAATGTCTTCGCGATATCGGCAAGAAGCGGAGTAAGTTAACACGCTGATAAGTGCGGATATCCCGCGGCTGCGTAGGGGTAGTATGTGAAAAAGCAGAGCAGGGTGGCCCACCCTAAATCATCTGCTCGTCACCCGCCAGGCAGCTGGCGAAGCTGACGCATAGAACTCCGGACAAATATTTCCTTCCTTCGTTTTTCTACACGTCAACTCCCAAAACAAAGGACGATTTGTCATGCAAAAATTCGATCAATCGATCCGGTGTCAATCATCGAGATGACGAAATTTGGGGTTCATTCCCCCTGCAGGAGTATTTCTCCAGATTAAAGTTTCATTATTTCATAAAACAAACAGGGTTGAAGCAGTGACGGAGAAATAATAACAGCTTCATAATTACTAGTTGGGAAAAATCTACGTGCATTAATACCGGTCAGAATTGACCACTGGATGTTTATAGTGCCCTTCATTTTTGAGTTATTTATGGGGTTTATCTTGGCATGATCGTGTGGTCGATACAAGAATCGAACTTTAATCAACAACTGTTTAATGAATCAGTGTAGCCAAGAATGAAATTACGAAGCAATATCCAATTTGTTTTGATTAACGGTAGTTAGGATTGTAGTGCTTTTTTTGGCGAAGGTCTAAGAAAGAATATGTTTTCAGCTTGCCGTTTATTGAAGATTTTTTGCAAATGTTCTAAAATTTTTTAGAATCCCATAGAATTTTTTAATCCATTTTTTACTTTAATGGATAAAACTAGATACCTCAAATCTTGAGGCTTTTAGAACTTTTAGATCTTTAGGGTATTAAGGAACTTCTTTAGTCCTATAAAACGTAGTATTATGTCGCTTCTTTCTGAAATCATATACCTACAGGATGTTCGGTCCAAGTCGCCCCGGCTGATAACACCTAAACTTACTTCTTTTTTTCAAAAAGTAATAATATTTATTCTTGTCTTTGTTAGTAAATGTATCAAATTTTTTTATCACATCCGGTGTTGCCGGAAATGCTACCAAATTTAGTTTTTCAAATAGAACACCTATGTTTTTTTTCCTCGAAACAATCATAATTGACATGAAAGATACGGTAAACCACTATTTATTACATTTTGCGTAACACAATGCAATCAGAAAACGTCTTAAATCTTAGAATTTTAGAAGGAAATTGATCGCGTAGCCTGACTTTTAATTTTAAAAGGAAAGTGTGAATAAAAAAAATGCTTGGATACAGTTTAATTGTTGGTTTGACAAATCTTATTTGTCAGTGAGCGAGTTCTCTTATGGAAACACTTGGATTTTCTTCGACTGATAACAGAACATTCAGATTTGTATTTTCTTGTTCTTCACTAAGAACTACAGCTTTTTTAGTTTTAAGAAGCGAACCTGTTCGTCTCAGTTGTTTTTCAATTCGACTAAATTTCCAACAATTTGGGTGAACTCTATTTGAGTATTTTTCTCTAAACTGTCTTTCAGCTTCCGCTCTATTTTTATTGCACTTTAAAACACTTCACGCTGATCTACCAATTCGTCGTAATTAATATATCATCCATTATTAAAGATCTCAAAATGATTTATTGACAAATTAGGCTTTGTCAAAATAACAATTAAACGGTATCCAAGCATATTGCTTTTTGCATGAATACCTTGCAGGTAAAATCCGCCTACGTTGCAAAATTTGCTAATAAAATTCTAAAATTCAAATTGTTTTCTGAGTGCATTATGTAAAAATGTAATAAATAGTGTTTATTTCATGCCAATTATTATTGTTTCGAGCAAAAAAAACATAGGTGTTCCATTTGAAAAACTAAATTTGGGAACATTTCCGTCTACATCGGATGTGCCAAAAAAAATTGATGCATTTACTAAGAAAGCCAGGAATGAATAGTATTATTTGAAAATTTGGTTTTTGAAAAAAAAAAGTAAGTTTAGGTGTTATCGGCCGGGGCGACTTGGACCGAACAGCCTGTATAAGCTTCTAGGGCCAGGGCCAGTGGTGAATCTATAGATGCTTTTGAAAAAATTATATGGTGAACATAGAACTAAACTAAACTAAACTAAACTAATGGTTCGGAATTTTTAAAATTTTTTACAAATCTGATAGAACCTTTTTTTTGTCTGAAATTTGAAAACACTGTGGAATTTTTTTGTGTTCTTAAAAAGATATCAAAACTTTCAAGTACGTGCTTTTCTCTTTTTATAATTTTCTAAAACACTAGGTTTGTTTTATTTCTGTTAATTATTGAGAAGAGTGGTTTTTAAGGGACCTCTTGTGGTGTTTAAAAATTGTGTGAGATCGATTCGTCTGAATTCGCATAAATCGTCAAAAGTTTTCTTGTTTGAAATGCAAATGGTCGTCTTTGGCATCCGCGCGCTAAACATATAACACAATCAGTGGTTATAATCACGAAAGAAAAGGTGACGGAAGTGTGAGTGTGCGGGTGGTGGCGCAAGGAGACGCCAGCGCGGCCGTCGCGGCGCTGCACTGCGTCCGTGATGTTCCTGACTTGCCACCGTCGACAATCAGACGTGAATTAATGCCCCTGTTCTTAATATTTGCCCAATACACTGAACTACATTAGTGTACAGTTACACGGCACTTGTGCTTTCTACTAGCATGTGTACTACATTAATATTATAATATTAACCTATGATATTCTACACAAAAGGGCTGAAAAAACCTAGATTTTTCCCACAGATAGGCTAAGAATTTGACGACTTTTATGTCAATAAGGAATAGTGCTAATGACCCACTAATTACAACTCATTCACGAACGTAAACCGCTATGCAAACAAGGATTTGCCGCCAAAATGATCTGCAGAAAGGAAGAGTGTAAGACCCACAGAGAGGTCTAAAAAGATTTTTTTAATCTTCTAGGTTGTTTTACCTTTTCTTTATGTTTATTTCTATTTGTGGTGCGCCTCAGGAGCCTTGTGTTCAATAAACTAGCCTAGATGTGTTTCCGAAAATGATGAAGGGGGGCGGGGCCGGAAAGCCTGGGATAATCTGATCGGGGGCGATCCGTGGGGCATATTAACAATAGTCAATTAAAATATCGCCCTCTCATCCTTTTGTAATGATATTCGAATGAAAAACCATGTCGGGTGCTGCTAAATCGGGATGAGGGTGGTCACGTGATGGCGTATCCCGTGACGTAACCTCTAGTTGCAAAATTCTTTTCTGGCATTGGGAATAAATTTCCCTAAAGCGCAATCAATCGTAATAATTTCGTCGCGTCACATTCGAATTGATTTTCTGATGAATTTTTAGTTGTGTTTGTCGATAAAGAGCCATTTCCGCCAAATAAAATAAAACAATCGCGGGCTAAATGTAATCGAAGAATAGAACGGAACAAAAGCAGTCTGGCTTCGTGTAATCAACTCAGATACTGGGGGATTCACTTAGCAGGGGTTGAAGGGAAACCTGCGAGCATTGTCTCACATATGGGCTCCCTTGATTTGCTAACAACTCAACCAAGACTATATCGATTATTGTTTGACTACAGTTCTGAATTAATACAAAAATGAGCCGCTCGTTCTTCGACCTTTAGCCAAAAAATATTTGCCGAAAGTTATGTCTGTTATTCGGTTTAACGGTCGGCGAGCGAACGATCGTTGACATCGAGTCGACGTGATGGAAGAATCATTTCAAAGCGAATCAATGCGCACGCATTGCTTTCTCGCGAATAGACGAGCGACCGTTGGCGTCGAATAAAGTTCGGTGCTACACGCGTTTAACAATGAATATTCGCTTGTTTATCAGTGAAATTAAAAAAAGACAGGCTGTGTGGGACCATACGAACCGACATTATTACGATAAAAGCGCAGTACACGACGGATGGCTTGAAATCGCGAAAATTTTCAACATCGAAGGTAATGTCTCGCTTGAAACGAAACGATTTCTCAAACGCTTTTCAGTTCACTTAGCTAAACAGAAATGGAAGAATCTGAGGGACACGTTTCGAGTAGAACTGAAGAAAACAAAAAGATACAGAGTTTCAGATGGCACGTCGAGGAGTCTTTGGGCATATTATGAAGATATGTATTTTATTAAAGACCTTTTAAGAACAAGAAGAGCACCTGACGCAGCACCACCAAATAGTAGTTCTGAAACATCCGAAATTGTTAGTCAGACTATCAAGACTGAGAAAGATTCAGTAACTTTTTCGCCAAGTCGTTTAACTGATGATAACGAATCTAAAGAGGCTTCAAATATTGTTATTCAAAGTGTTAGATCTCTACAAACCGAAAGCGAAGATGTTGATACTACTAACGAGCAAATTATTAAAAGAAGGTTTAAAAGAAAATGGTTTAATGAGGAACAAACCGAAGGGAATGAGGAGGATCAAGATGATGATTTATTGTTCTTTAGGAGTTTACTTCCTTTTGTCAAAGAATTAGACCAGGACAAAAAATTGTTGTTTCGGATGAATGTCCAACAGATGTTGTATGATCAGTTGTATAATAATTAGTGCAATAATGGTTCCTGTAGTAATAACCAATAAATTAAGTTTCTTTTTGTTTTGAGTTTTATTCTCGTCTTTCTCCTTCAGGTGACAAGGGACATTGAATAACAAAAATAATATTAATTTAAAAAACCGCAGTAATAAAATATTTGCAGCTTGGCCATAACAGTATGATATATGATCGATTTTTATTATTGTCATGCATTGTAACGCCATGAATAAGATTTAGCCTTGTCCTTACGTATAAAAATTGTCATCACGTGTCAACTTGCAACAATATTTGTGATGTTTATTGTACACGTGCTTAACAATTACTCATTAATTATTTGATTATGTCAGATGGACGTAAGCAATCGAATTTTTCAACGTACAAGGTATGAAATAAATCAGAAAGTCATGTCAAGATCGAGAAACTAGAATTTATTTAATATTTTTGTCAGAGGTCAAACAGTTATGAAAACTGGTTACACCTAGAAAGTGCGTTCATCGATTTGTAGGATCATGTTTAAATTGCCTTTTTCGTTGATAATGAGGGCGCAGTATTGACTTTTGTTTTACCTTATTTGTCAAAAGCGTTGGCACTTGAGTTAACACCTTTAGGACTCTAATTAAAACCTAGTTAATTTTCTAACTGTAAGGTGGCACAAACGCTAAATATTTGAAGGATGACAATGTCTTATCAATGACAAACAGAAATTCTGGTTAAACGTTTTATGAATATTTATTTTTTTAATTGCAACATGCTTGGAATGACTGATAAGCAAAATAAAAGCTAATAAGCAATCGCATCATATCTCATCTCAATACGGAGCGTAATTAAGCATATAATTATCTCATTTATGTACAGGCCATGGCTTTTGCTAAATCTCGTAACTTATAAGTACATAAAATAGGGGTCCAAGGTCATGCTGGACATCCAGAGGTAATTTTATGCACTTATGTAATCGCTAATTAAATGCATGTTATAGATGTACAATATGCGTGACAGAAAATGCGCATTTCTTGTTGAGTTTTCTCAACTGTAACTGCGGGATCTTCTGCGGCAACTCGTATCCCTTTTATCTTCATTATCAACAAGGCGTATAGGCGCTTTAATATCATTTTATTGCCTTTTTCGGTGGCAAAAATGTCGATAAGGTGAGTGGAACTTGCTCGTCATAAATCCAGCAGTCGAAATAAACTTGTTCATAAAGGAGCTTCTAATATGTGAGCAGTTTAGTCGGTAGTGGCGTCACATGACCTTTAATTAGCCGGTGAGCGAAGTACAAGGGCGGGCTCGGGGTTAGGTCACGCCAACCCTCGGGACATCTCTCGTGTGGGTATAGTGCCTACCCGCTGATCGATACCATTGCCGTACCCAACACTTGATATCAAGATACCAATAGTTTGCGAGGAGACAGGACGAAGATTACGACGGACTAATCCTCACCCGTCGAGGACTGGATGCCGCATAACAGACCGGAGAGGACGACAACGATTATGCAGATTAATTCGGACGCTGGCCTAGATGACAAACACAAAGGTTTCGCAGTAGAAAGCAGATAATTATGATGGGAAGTAATTTAATAATGACGAGGAGGGCGGGATCGCTTGCAATGATAACTTTCCATAAGGTTGTGGACCGGCAAAAGAGGTTAATAGCTCTTTTTCATCAGGATTGAAATTATTTTTAAAAGTTTCAAAACAAGAAACAGCTAGAAAATAGCATATAACACCACTTTATCACAGTGAAAAAAGCTTGTTACCACAATTGTAACAGTAATACACGTAGAGGCTAAAAAATAAGAGTTTTACATTTAATTTTAAAAAAGAAAAAAATTGTAAAATCTTATTGAGAACTCATAGTTTATCTTTAACTTGAAACTTTCAGGTTATTTTTTGAAACTTTTATCTTTGGAATTACTTCTTTAATTATTTTTTTAGCAAAATGTTTGTAAGTTGAAAATCAGCTAAATAGCCTGATTTTTTTAGTTGATTTCTACAGCTTTGGCAGAAAAACAAACTGTTCTGTAGTTCTTTCTTTTACTACACATGTTCAGATGTTCTCACTGATAATATTATTTTTTTAAACTAAGGGTGGGTTTATGGAAGCCGAATTAATTATTTGATTACAGTTAAATTTAATTCGTAATTTTGATTTAATTCACTTTCTGTAAACCCACCCTAAATGTTCTTAATCTGTAGTCAAGAACGCTATGTAATTATTGACAATTTTTATTGTTAAAATTTTATTAAAGTCGTTGGACAATTTGACATTAATGGGTCAACGCCACCGCTAAGAAATTTCAGTAGCTTTTCAAATCAGTGCTTTAATAGCATGTGTATCTTTATTATGTTGAGTTTTTAAGAAATTTTAAATAAATTTCTTTCCTCCCACACTAAATTTGTGATTAAGTATCAAATAAAACTCAATTAATTTTCATCAACTGTCATTAAATTTATGAAGTACAAGTCCATTCATTGATCGTGGTGTAGAAAGAGTGGCAATATTGTAACCAAAGCGTATTTGAGGCCCTGTTATTGAGACCAGTAATATTGATTTATTTTTACCATAATCAACGCATTGAACAGCTTTTCACACAATGAGTATAAAAAAGGCTTCCACAATATGAATGAGGGGAGGTTGACCAGTTTCACCCCCTAACGGCCGAACCGTTATTTGTACAACATGTCACATGTGTCTTCCGCCAATCAAAAACTTCCCACAAATCAAAAATTTCTAATCGATTAATAATAATCATCGAGATGTTAAGTCTGTATTAAGTATCCCTTTTCATCGCGCTTGTCTGCCGCATTATCATTAGTTCACACATTTGAACCATTATCGATGGGTGTTTTGCGGTAGTAATTTCCTTCCGGTACCCTTTACCAGTCCACTGGTCCGCTGCACTCCTTCCCCCCGCATGTCACATCCTGCTCCGTGAGAACCCACCACTATTCACTGTTGAATTGAAACCCATCCGTGGGAATGACTTTGAGCTAGGGTGTGTTTTATGTGTGTAAGAGTGTTTCTTAAAACAACGGCTCCATTTTACGCCAATCCCCAATTACCAGAGCATGACCTTCTTCCGACTACAATTATCACGAGTTTTGTAATTGTGGCGAAAACGCGGCATAAAGAGACCGTTCACCCTGCATCGATCGAGACCTCCAAGCCGAATCAATAGGGTGCAAATCCGGAAACGCCAAGACTTGTTGTTGGTATTTTTGGCGAGTGCATTGTGGTGTCGTCTGGAATAAGTGTTTAAATTTAATTCTAAAAATGCGAGCCCCTTTCATGAGTTCTGGTAACTGACGGTAATAAACTAATAAATAACACGTCTAATAATACCAATGTTCAAATACAGCTTCCTTCCTTGTGTAAAATTAGACGCCGATTGAAGAGAAGGGGCGACAGAAGGGCCGTGAGCAATCACATAGGAGCGAGACGAGATCAGATCAGCGCTAATAATACACCCCCATACTCACAAGCGCTAAATACAAACTCGTTTGAACTCTGGACGAGGATTAATACATGGGGTGGTTCAACTATATTTAGCCAAACTAGATTTATTTTTAAATTCCATGTCTCTCATTATCACCGCAATCAAGTGTTTTGATGAAACCGTTCGAAATTCGAAAACCTGTCACATCTGGACCATTTTATAATCTTAAGTTACATCCGTTTTATTTACCAGATTTGGTACTATTGACCTACACAAAAAATTCACTTTCTTTCCCACACTACAACCACCACAATAAAAATATAATTACTACAAACACAAACACGCTTTTCCAATTTACAATCTTTCCCTTGGCATTTGATCTAATATACTTTATTGGATTTGTAAGGACGTTTACGTGTACATTCACAAAAGTTTATTTACTACACCCACTAAACTAGTTTCAAAATAATTCAGAGTGCAGTTTTTTGGTTATATTTTTTTGATTTGACTTTCACCGTATTGTTTGGTGCAATTTATAAAAATTAAAATTATTTGCATTTTTAATACTGCCATTGCTTGTTGCGGAGAAATCGAACTTTTCGTTACATAAACCTAGAAACTCTTACTTTGGTGCTAATCTCTTTTAAGAGGGGACAGTGTCAATAACTCAATTTCACGCGCGTGCTCAGGTTATATGGCTGCATACCTTTTGCCATGATAATTATCAAGGAATTTTTCAACAAAAAATATTTCAGAAAGCACACGCTTTATTACTGTGCCAGCGTACAAGTGAAAGATTCTCATTTAGCTCGAAGTAAATAATTCCAATCTAAAATTAGTACCGGATGATATGATTCCGAAAATGCTCGGAAAGTTTCGTCAGTGTTTTATGGTTGCATGTTTAAGTCTATTCTTGAAATAAATGACACGAAGAGCCGATCATGGCATTTGGTAACAATGGAGTAGTTTCGAATTTGGACACTTGATCCAAAAATTGCCAAAATGGTGTTAAGGTCACCAGTTGTTTTTAATTTACAGTGAGCTTAAGTAATATTTACACTTGGTGTTTAATGGACAAAACTATTAATAACAGCTTAACTATAAACAATTCGTATTTTTAGGAGTATTGGAATATCTTGTAAATGATTCATCCAAGCAAATCATTGTATACTTGGATGTGAAACTGGGGAAAAGTGTTTGGAAAATGAGAGTTGCTTGCGTAATGTTGCTATATTAAAATTTTCCACCCACCGTATTTAAACGAAACCTTTTGTTTGTTTAACATTGCGTGGTATACCAATAGGTATCGATTTAGATTAATGTAAGTGCGCGTGAACATAATATAAAACGAGGTATAAATAACTTAGTCTACTGCTTTACCTTGACTCATATGCTTGTTTGGTCATTCCAGAGAAAATTTCAAAACTTTGCAAGGAACATCTCTAGTAATCTCCAACTATGTTAATTAAAATTTAACGATTCATGTCAACTACTAACACAACTTTAATACAACACATTGTAAAATTTAGCCTATAAATTGTTTTGACACTTTTATGGAGCGTTAAATTGCGTGAATGTGCAACCTTTAGTAATGGTTCAATC